TTGGGTTGTGGCTAGATCAGTCAAAGAGGAGTTCTGGACTTGGGAGGTATTCTTAGTGTTAAGCATTATAATAGACAATTTAGTCTTGTCCCATGGCTACTTATTGGGTTATATGGAAAGAAAGGAACATGATAGCTTTGAGGGTATTGCTTTATCTTTTGATAATATAAATGATATGTAGTTCCAGACCTTAGTTTTTTGAATTAAGAGGCACCCTCTTATTCTTGGAGGATTTTGGGGACCTGATTGATACTTGATTGACATGTAAATATTTTTTGTATGCGAGTTTTATCACTTGATGCCTTCAACATTTTAACTTTTTATTTCAGAAAGAAGAGGATGACCTTTTATTTAAAAATGTAGGGTTTAGAGCTAAGCATCCTTGATTCTATCAATAAAAAATTTTATGCCACCAAAAACCCTTCTATTTCTAAAGGGTAAGACCTAAATGTTTCTTGAAATACTTATCCCTATGGATACCTCTCTTAGCCTAGATCTCAGGTCTTACTGAATCAACCATTACCAAATTAACCCCCAAAAGACTATAGGTTCTTGACCAAAAATGAAAAGAGAAAGGGCACTATAGAAGGAGATGATTTCCAAACTCTGCATCTTTTTACATAAATGGCACTTGTCCCCTAATATCGTTCCTCTTTTATGAGATTATCTTAGTTAAAATACAGCACCTTGCCAATTCCCGCACTAAGAACTCGACTCTAAATGAAGTATTTGTTTTCCAGATCAGTTTCCGTGAAAGTTTCACATTAGTTCTTTCATTCTTTGCAAGTATTGATAGAAGGATTTTACTGAAAATGTCTCATTCAAACTAGAATCAAAGTGGCTCATTCAAGGATTCATTTGGCTTTTCCCGGTTGGAAAAACACTTGAATAAATTGGCATAATTATTCACGTCTTAATTGTTTAGATTTCTGGTAAATCCGCCATCCAAGCTGCCTTAAGCGTGACATTGGAGAAAGATTCCTCCAGCATTGCCTTTCAATTCCGAGATAAGAAGTAGATTATGAGAAATTGTTATTTTCTGGACATATTATTTCCCTGTGATGGGATTTTGACTTGCTCCTGCATGTTGGTCATATTTATGGTTCCTCTGCTTTGCTTTGTATGCCGTGACAAGATTATAGCATCTCCCCTGCACAAGGAGGAAAAGAGTTATTTGAAACTATACTTCAAAGAACCAATGTTAATTAGCATAGTAGTTTGCAGAAGGTTTTGGTTTGCAATCAATTGTGAAAAGCCTGAAGCAATAGTTAGGTGACAGGTGTGTTGGTCCTTAAGTATTGGATATTATAAAATGCTGATGCACTCGCATGTTCTGAGATACCAATAGCACGTATATGAGAAAGTGTTCTTGTTTGGTCATTTTCATTTGCTGCTTGCCTCTTTATTCTTTTAAAATCAAAAGATGAAATGGGAACCATATAATTCTATATTCTATATCTTTTTTGCAGTTTTTCCCCTTGCTACTCAAGCTGATTGCATGGAACGGAGAGAAGTAAGCTCATAGCTAATACATATATGCTTGTTTTTTTAATTACTTCAATTCATGATGTTTGCTTTATAAAGTTTACTAGTGGTTTTTTGAAAAAAAACAAAAACAAAGTATACTAGTGGTCCTAAGATACTTATAAAATATGTTTTTGGTAGCAGCTGCTGTTTGCAGGCATCACCATAGATCTTTTTGTTTTCAATCAGTTAAACTTGGGAGTTAGACCCCTCCCAAAGCCACCCGCTCCAAGAGTCTGGAAACTTGAAAATGTATATAATCAGGCTATAAATTGTAGAAATGGTGTGTATTTCATAGTTGTTGTATTTGAATACATTTATTAAGTGTATGATATCAAGATATGATGCATAGGTCCTGGGAATCATACTGCAACCCCCATCTTTGGTTTCGGAGTTTTGGCTATTTACGGTCTAATTAGAACCTTGGGGCCTTTTTTGCTGCTTTATGGGCTAAGGCTCATGGCTGTTATAGGAATGTCTCTTTGGCTATTTTGCACAGGGATTGGCATGCTTTACTTTGCTAATGTAAATCTTTCTATATGTTTCTTAGGAGATTTCTCATCGTCCACTTTTGTAATTTTCTTCCCTTTCTCTAATAAATTTTTTTTGTTCATAAGAAAAGAAATGCTAATCATCATCTATACATTTGAATGGCAGGTTAGAGAGGTTATTTCTGAAGACTTTTCCAGGATTGATATCACCTGGGTCATTTCTTCCCCTATTTCCATCTATAATGGACTTACCAAGTGAGTTTGGCATCAGCTTATCTGTAGCATACTCTATCCTTTTTGTCTTCCATCAATGTTCACACTTCTACTACTTTCTGTTAGCTTCTTCATCGGTCACTAATTTTCTTTTCTTTTATGTTAAAGTGCTTCTTTTAAATGAATTTTTTGTTCTTACATTGATATTGGGTATTTTATTTCGCATCTTTGTTTACGCTTGCGGAATTAAGTGGCCTTATGTCCTCTTTAAACAATTCTCCTATTTTGGTTTTTATTTTTTCGTTTCAGTTTTGGTTGTGGCCTTGGAAAAAGGTAGAACGAAGTTCGGGATCACTGATTGGGAGCAGCATAGCATCAATCCAGAAGAGTACGGCTCCTGAGGTTACTTTTGATACTTTGAAGATTATATAGTCTGGCAAAAAACTTGTTTAGTAGAAGAATCAGTGACATAATTCTGTTTGGATTGCAGATGCTACTTGCACTCATGGGATGAAAGCTTATACTGGTTCGACAATGGTGATGGAGGGGGAGATTCTGAATCTGAGGATGGGCAACACAATAGATGTGGCTGATCCCT